GGGGGGGGTTCTCAAGCTTAACACCTTCATGAGGTTCACAGTAGAACCCCGTTTGTATGTGCATGTAAGTGGTAGATATCAGATGGCCTGTCAGCGGGTGTTGTAGTGACCATATTGGCAAGTGTCTGTGGACAGTAGGAGTGTGTCACAGAGGAAGTGCCTCGCCCTCTGCCCTGGCAAGTGTCTGTGAACAGCAGGAGTGTGCCACAGAGGAAGTGCCTCGCCCTCTGCCCTGGCAAGTGTCTGTGAACAGCAGGAGTGTGTCACAGAGGAAGTGCCTCGCCCTCTGCCCTGGCAAGTGTCTGTGAACAGCAGGAGTGTGTCACAGAGGAAGTGCCTCGCCCTCTGCCCTGGCAAGTGGCTCTGCCCTCGGTGTGGCTGCGTACACCAGCTTACTCGAATTATTTTGACGATCAAACTCTAACCGGAGGCGCAGCGCTTGGGATTTACGAAGATTGGGATTTACTCGGGATTTACATGTCTCCGTGGTGTAGTGGTAAGACATTCGCCTGGCGTTTCGCGAGCGCTTTGTCATGGGTTCGTATCCTGGCCAGGGAGGATTTACTGGGCGCAAATCCTTAACTGTAGCCTCTGTTTAACTCAACAGTAAAATGTGTACTTGGTTGTAACAACGATTCTTCGCGGCGGGGATCGTATTCCAGGGACCTGCCCGAAACGCTACGCGTACTAGTGGCTGTACAAGAATGTAACAACTCTTGTATATATCTCAAAAAAAAAGAGAGATATTGTGTTCAATTTCTCTTGCGAGTCATTGTAGAAGAGAAAAGTTTGCATTAATTTAAAAATAAATCACATGCATAGCAAATATATTCATTTATTTGGTTGAAATACTCGACGAAAATGTTCAAATTCAGTGGTTTCTTTGCGAACTGTTCACCAAGAACAGGGGTAGAGACCCGGGCTGCCTGGCGGGTCTTACTGTTCTTTCAGAGAACACGGTCCTCGAATATTATGACACGGGCGCCGTTTTCTATGGTTCAGGGGACGTGTAGAATTATCTCCGGGGCGGGAGCTGGCAGCCACACTGATGATTATATTGGGCGGGGCATGTGTGCGTCAGTGCTGCGGCGTCGTGCGTCAGTGCTGCGGCGTCATGCGTCAGTGCTGCGGCGTCGTGCGTCAGTGCTGCGGCGTCGTGCGTCAGTGCTGTGACGTGCGTCAGTGCTGCGGCGTGCGTCAGTGCTGTGACGTGCGTCAGTGTTGCGACCTGCGTCGTGCGTCAGTGCTGCGACCTGTGACGTGCGTCAGTGCTGCGGCGTGCGTCAGTGCTGCGGCGTCGTGCGTCAGTGCTGCGGCGTCGTGCGTCAGTGCTGCGGCGTCGTGCGTCAGTGCTGTGACGTGCGTCAGTGCTGCGGCGTGCGTCAGTGCTGCGGCGTCGTGCGTCAGTGCTGTGACGTGCGTCAGTGTTGCGACCTGCGTCGTGCGTCAGTGCTGCGACCTGTGACGTGCGTCAGTGCTGCGGCGTGCGTCAGTGCTGCGGCGTCGTGCGTCAGTGCTGTGACGTGCGTCAGTGTTGCGACCTGCGTCGTGCGTCAGTGCTGCGACCTGTGACGTGCGTCAGTGCGGCGACGTGCGTCAGTGCTGTGACGTGCGTCAGTGCTGCGACGTGCGTCAGTGCTGCGACGTGCGTCAGTGTTGCGACCTGCGTCGTGCGTCAGTGCTGCGACCTGCGTCGTGCGTCAGTGCTGCGACCTGCGTCGTGCGTCAGTGCTGCGACCTGCGTCGTGCGTCAGTGCTGCGACCTGCGTCGTGCGTCAGTGCTGCGACCTGCGTCAGTGCTGCGACCTGCGTCGTGCGTCAGTGCTGCAACCTGCGTCGTGCGTCAGTGCTGCGACCTACGTCAGTGCTGCGACCTGCATCATGCGTCAGTGCTGCGACCTGCGTCGTGCGTCAGTGCTGCGACCTGCATCATGCGTCAGTGCTACGACCTGCATTATGCGTCAGTGCTGCGACCTGCATCATGAGTCAGTGCTGCGACCTGCATTATGCGTCAGTGCTGCGACCTGCATTATGCGTCAGTGCTGCGACCTGCATTATGCGTCAGTGCTGCGACCTGCATTATGCGTCAGTGCTGAGACCTGCATTATGCGTCAGTGCTGCGACCTGCATCATGCGTTAGTGCTACGACCTGCATTATGCGTTAGTGCTGCGACCTGCATTATGCGTCAGTGCTGCGACCTGCATCATGCGTCAGTGCTGCGACCTGCATTATGCGTCAGTGCTGAGACCTGCATTATGCGTCAGTGCTGCGACCTGCATCATGAGTCAGTGCTGCGACCTGCATCATGCGTCAGTGCTGCGACCTGCATTATGCGTCAGTGCTGAGACCTGCATCATGCGTCAGTGCTGCGACCTGCATCATGCGTCAGTGCTGAGACCTGCATCATGCGTCAGTGCTGCGACCTGCATCATGCGTCAGTGCTGAGACCTGCATCATGCGTCAGTGCTGCGACCTGCATCATGCGTCAGTGCTGCGACCTGCATCATGCGTCAGTGCTGAGACCTGCATCATGCGTCAGTGCTGAGACCTGCATCATGCGTCAGTGCTGCGACCTGCATTATGCGTCAGTGCTGAGACCTGCATCATGCGTCAGTACTGAGACCTGCATCATGCGTCAGTGCTGCGACGTGCGTCAATGGTTTGCATGGAGTGAAGGGATCACACACACAATTACAGAGTGAAGCAGACAAGAACAAGAACACAGACAGACAGACACACAATATAAGAGTCCAATTTGATTATCAGTTAATAAAAACAGAAGAAAGTTGTCCTGTCTTTAGTATTTGTCTTATTTAGTCTTTGGTTTAAGTGTTGTATATATATATATATATATATAATGTCGTACCTAGTAGCCAGAACGCACTTCTCGGCCTACTATGCAAGGCCCGATATGCCTAATAAGCCAAGTTTTCATGAATTCATTGTTTTTCGACTACCTAACCTACCTAACCTAACCTAACCTAACTTTTTCGGCTACCTAACCTAACCTAACCTATAAAGATAAGTTAGGTTAGGTTAGGTAGGGTTGGTTAGGTTCGGTCATATATCTACGTTAATTTTAACTCCAATAAAAAAAATTGTCCTCATACTTAATGAAATGGGTAGCTTTATCATTTCATAAGAAAAAAATTAGAGAAAAAATAATAATTCAGGAAAACTTGGCTTATTAGGCAAATCGGGCCTTGCATAGTAGGCTGAGAAGTGCGTTCTGGCTACTAGGTACGACATATATATATATATACATACAGACAGCAAGACACAATAACGTGGCTGATCACTAGACAACAATATTCATTAACTGTTCATTTCACTAGCGCGATAACACAAATACTAAGAGTAGTTCTTTCATTTAAAGACATACACACAAGGAGATAATTAGCACTAACAGTGTTGGAAATATCGAGAGAGTGACTATCAACGACCTACGTAATACTGCTGATCACTAATGATGTGTTCCATATATGCCAACCTGGCCACACTCCGCCACACTCTGCCACACACTGTCACACTCCGCCACACTCTGCCACACTCCGCCACACTCTGCCACACTCTGTCCCACTGTGCCACACTCCGCCACACTCCGCCACACTCTGCCACACTCTGTCACACTGTGCCACACTCCGCCACACTCTGCCACACTCTGCCACACTCTGCCACACTCTGCAACACTCTGCCACACTCTGCCACACTGTGCCACACTCCGACACACTCCGCCACACTCCGCCACACTCCGCAACACTCTGCCACACTCTGCCACACTCTGCCACACTCTGCCACACTCTGCCACACTCTGCCACACTCTGCCACACTCTGCCACACTCTGCCACACTCTGCCACACTCTGCCACACTCCGCCACACTCCGCCACACTCTGCAACACTCTGCAACACTCTGCCACACTCTGCCACACTCTGCCACACTCTGCCACACTGTGCCACACTCTGCCACACTCTGCCACACTCTGCCACACTCTGCCACACTCTGCCACACTCTGCCACACTCTGCCACACTGTGCCACACTCTGCCACACTCTGCAACACTCTGCCACACTCTGCCACACTCTGCCACACTCTGCCACACTCTGCCACACTCTGCCACACTCTGCCACACTCTGCCACACTGTGCCACACTCTGCCACACTCTGCCACACTCTGCAACACTCTGCCACACTCTGCCACACTCTGCAACACTCTGCCACACTCTGCCACACTCTGCCACACTCTGCCACACTCTGCCACACTCTGTCACACTGTGCCACACTGTGCCACACTAGTGTGACCTTACCAATAACTTACACGGTTGTGGGGTGATCCTTGAGGCGGCACAAACCTACGAGGCCACACCATCTATCCTCGACCACTGTAGGACGGGCCTCGGGGATAGCTTTGTTCTCCGCTGATAGACAGTTGGCTACTGACTTGGTTATAATCAAGTAATAGATAACTTTACAAGAAAGAAGCCTTGACCCACGAGGCTGTTGTATTTGCTTCATACATTTTTTGTATTGCTTAGAATTGTTTTACGTTTAAAATTCATAATAATTAAATAGTGCCTGTATTTATTGTTTCGATTTTAAATATAATTTATAGCTTTGTAATTATTGTGTTTATTCCGTTTTGATTTTAAATACAAAATAACAATTATGTACGTTCTTTAAAAGTAGTATTTTCCTGGTGTTTTGATTTGAAATACAATATATGTAGATTAATGAGCTTAGTGTAAATTGTGTGTGTTTGGATTTCGAGTACAATATTTGGTACGTGTCGTGGCACCACTTTCCCACGGCCCGGTTACTGTTACTGAGGAACCTGGCCACGCCCTGGTCCGAAACGCCGTTACTTACAATACCTTGTGATGCTTGACCTGGGGCGGCTATTGTAACCGTCCTGCGACCGCTGACTCACACAGATTACAAATGGACTCAGATTAATAATATTTACATTGTGAAAGCGCAAGACATGAGCATGAGGTCTTCCTACCCGGGTCTGGCGGGGGCGGCGTTGTTGAGAGGGCGGGGGGCGAGGTCCTGGTCCAGGGCGTGGATGGAGGGCTCGCTGCGGCACAGGCGGCCTCTGGGGCCTCCCACTCCTGAGGGAGGCTGCCGGGGGGCGCGACCCCTGTGCCTCCGCTCCAGTAGAAGGTGAGCGAGAACTCGACAAGCGTCCATGCTTGTGTTGTCCTCAAGGTGCCTGTGAGGGTGTTGTCTAGCACCACCCGGTCAACCGCTCTACCACATGGCACCATAAGTTTCTCACCGTAATCACTCGTGTTTCGCGGGGCTCCAAGTTCTCTCAAATGTTTGTTAAAACATTCTTTTCTGCTCACCAGAAGAGAATTTAGATACCGGGTTTGTTTTCAGTCTTAAATCTAAACAGGTGGTATGGTTGTTAGTGGTGCCCTCCTGCACCAGCTGGCACCACAGCTGCTGCCAAGCTAACATGCAGCTAGCTGGCGCAGCTTGACCTGTCTGACACCTGTACCACACCCTGTGCTGGCCCTCAAGACGTCGGAGCTGGTCCTCGGGAGTAACCCTCGACGTGACAGGGGGTAAGTTGGTACTCGAGTGGTAAGTTGGCACTCAAGATGAAGGTGTTCCTTGGGAAGGAAAACTGTCACTAAAAATGGAAACTGATTTTCAGGAATGAAATCTTTTACGGGCTATTCGTGCCCGTGCCACCTCTTGGGTGGCTTAGTCTTTATCAGTCAATCAATCAGGACTGAAGCTAGGCCTAACGGGGCCACTCGGGTCTCAGGAACTGCTGAGAATGCCTTGGGATGGGGCTGACGCCATGGTGGACACTAACCTAGCCACCTAGACCATTTGGTGGAGCCCCATGACCCCAAGAGGTGGTAAGGGGCGGCGCTCCGTATACCCATTCATCTCCACATGTCTATTACAGTATTTCCACGCTCCAAGGGACTAGACGTACAATTACAAATTGTTGTATGCTTCATATGCATATTATCGTATATTGCACCTGCAATAAATGTAAACACTAAATTAAGAACAAATTATATTTAATAGTGAGATAAAATGTACAAATTTATCAACAGGAGTCAACTTTATACAGTTAATGGAGGCACTTGTATTCTGGAGGCGGCCGGGGGGGGGGGGGGCAGCTGCCCCCTGCCACTGTGGGGCAGCAGCTGTGTGGCCTTAGTGCTGTGACCTGTGTCTTGATACCTGCCCTAGCTCTCTCTCTCTCTCTCCCTCTCTCTCCCTCTCTCTCCCTCTCTCTCCCTCTCTCTCTCTCTCTCTCTCTCTCTCTCTCTCTCTCTCTCTCTCTCTCTGTTTTTTATTCGATTAAAATTATGTTTTCCTATAATTTATAGCGTGGGAGGCACCTGGTCTGGACCGGGACACGTGAGTAGGATACCGGAGAGGAGGGGCGTGGGGGGGGGGGGGGGTGGGGAGGGAAGTAAGGAAAGATGAAAGAAGTGAACAAAAGGAAGGAATTAAGTTGAAGACGAAGTAAAGGTGGACTTAAGAGGACAAGACGGAAAGGTAGACAAGTAGAGTAGGGTAGGGTAGGGAGGGGGAACTATCAGGGGAAAGCGTCAAGCCATTACGACTATATAGCACTGGGAAGGGGTCAGGAAAAGGATTTGGGCTGGGACGGAGGGAAGGAATGGTGCCCAACCACTTGGACGGTCGGGGATTGAACGCCGACCTGCATGACGCGTGGTAGTATTGGTACAGTGGTGGTGGTGAGGGAAAGGGGTACGGTATTGTGCACGCTCAGTGCTACCTCTCAACCAGACAGCTTCAGCACCGTCTACGCCCCCCCACCTCTCAACCAGACAGCTTCAGCACCGTCTACGCCCCCCCTCTCAACCAGACCGCTTCAGCACTGTCTGCGCCCCCACCTCTCAACCAGACCGCTTCACCACCGTCTACGCCCCCTCCCACCTCTCAACCAGACAGCTTCAGCACCGTCTATGCCCCCCCACCTCTCAACCAGACAGCTTCAGCACCGTCTACGCCCCCCACCTCTGAACCAGACAGCTTCAGCACCGTCTTCGCCCCCCCCCACCTCTCAACCAGACAGCTTAAGCACCGTCTACGCCCCCCACCTCTCAACCAGACCGCTTCACCACCGTCTACGCCCCCCACCTCTCAACCAGACCGCTTCACCACCGTCTACGCCCCCCACCTCTCAACCAGACCACTTCACCACCATCTACGCCCCCCACCTCTCAACCAGACAGCTTCAGCACCGTCTGTAACACTGTAAAAGTATTTGGTTTAGTTGTATTTAATACATACATAGAGTACATGAGTCACAGACAGGGATTTGAGAAGGCGCCAAGTTGTCGGCCGGAGTTTCACACCTCTAAGAGTTAATGACCACCAAGTGACCTGAGGTCAGATCATGCAAATTTCACCTTACTTCTACTAATCTTATAATTGGAGCCTGGTAGCCTTCAAACATGCCGACGTTTAAGGAGTGGCTTGGTAGAGAGCCGGAGGCTATCTACTTGTGGGCGGAGTTAGCTACTAGGTTCCCCAATATATACTCGGAGAGCTATCGATTCGAGAGCATTAACGAGCATTTGAAAAACCGGAGCCAGCAGAGCAGAGAAGACGGCCTAGCAGGGAGGCTGTCGGCCGGCAGGGCGCGACAGTTTCTGTCAAGCTACAGACCCCCCTTCCCCCTCTATCCAGCTATAGGCAGACACTTGGTGAGTTGAGCATTAAGGTGACTTGGTCGTGTTTTACAAGTGTTGTGTGATGATCAGGGGCAGTCAGTTGTAGTGTTCTCAGATTCTTGGAGGATGACTCACTTTACATATATATATCTTGAACATTGCTTAAATTATGATACTTAGTATGTGAAATATAATTGAATTTATTATTTACATGGCCTTTAACTGTGTCCCCTAGAGTTGAGTTGAGGTGAGAAAGCCTCTGTGATTACTGGTTTCATGATTTAATGAGTACATGATAAAGATGGGACATACTAATAATGACCGCTTGATAACATCTTTTGAGAATATTGTGATACAGACAAGTTCCATTCCTTGTCTTGTATGTAATGGTCTTGAATGGATGGTGGCAGCATTTCGTCTTCTACTATCTACTCTTCTACTATCTACTCTTCTACTTCTACCTACCTACTTCTCTCCCTCTACCCCTCTCTAAACTCTCACTTTCAACTAATGACCCTCCTCGCTCCTCCCACCTCTCTACCTCTCACCCCAAACCCTCACTAATTACTTCACTATTCATTTCTTTCCTTTCGTTTTCTCTTATACGTTTGTGGCAGTGAAATGTATTCTAGAGTTCTCTCTAGGGTTTCGGGTAACTGATCCAGTTACAGCTCCTTGTAGTCTTAGCACCTAGGTAGTCAAATACCTAGGTTACAAGGTGTTGAACGAGAGAGGTTGCCTTAGGAACTCTGGAGGGTGCTCTAGAATAGTTAGCTAACTGAGGACGGGATAACGGACTAGAGAGAGCTGTTTCCCCCGGCCTCGTTAGTTAACTGGGGGGTGGAGTAATGGACAAGATAGAGCTATTTCCCCCACCCCCCGTTACATGTCTACCCCCCCCCCCCCACCTCTCAACCAGACCGCTTCAGCACCGTCTACGCCCCCCACCTCTCAACCAGACCGCTTCAGCACCGTCTACGCCCCCCCCCCTTACCTCTCAACCAGACAGCTTCAGCACCGTCTACGCCCCCCCACCTCTCAACCAGACAGCTTCAGCACCGTCTACGCCCCCCCCCACCTCTCAACCAGACCGCTTCAGCACCGTCTACGCCCCCCCACCTCTCAACCAGACAGCTTCAGCACCGTGTACGCACCCTCCCCCCACCAAGACAGTGATCCCCCCCCCACCAAGACAGTGATGCCCCCCCCACCAAGACAGTGATGCCCCCCCCACCAAGAGAGTGATGCCCCCCCCACCACCAAGACAGTGATGCCCCCCCCACCAAGACAGTGATGCCCCCCCCCACCACCAAGACAGTGATGCCCCCCCACCACCAAGACAGTGATGCCCCCCACGCCACCACCAAGACAGTGATGCCCCCCCACCACCAAGACAGTGATGCCCCCCCCACCACCAAGACAGTGATGCCCCCCCCCACCACCAAGACAGTGATGCCCCCCCCACCACCATGACAGTGATGCCCCCCCCCCCCCGCCACAGTTGGTATTCACTAAGGCCGCCAGCAGAAGTACTCGGGTCGCATAAGCTGCTTCTTCCTTGTCTCTCGTTATAACATTTCCCGTCCTTGTTGGTAGCACACACAGCGCTGCTGCTGGGATACGAACTGGGCTCCCATGTCCCAGCACCCAGCTGTCTTTACTGTGGCGGCAGTGAAGACAGTATCAGCAGAAACAGCAGCAGCAGGAACAGCACCAGTAACAGCAGGAGAAACAACAACAACAGCAGCAGGAGGAACAGCAGCAGCAACAACAGGTCCCACTGCTCACGTCTACTGATGCACACTGTGTATGGCATATATTCCTTGATCAGTTACTGGTTTCCGGCGAGGGTCCCAGCCACCGGGGAAGGGTCCCAGCCACCGGAGAAGGGTCCCAGCCACCGGGGAAGGGTCCCAGCCACCGGAGAAGGGTCCCAGCCACCGGGGAAGGGTCCCAGCCACCGGGGAAGGGTCCCAGCCACCGGAGAAGGGTCCCAGCCACCGGGGAAGGGTCCCAGCCACCGGAGAAGGGTCCCAGCCACCAGGGAAGGGTCCCAGCCACCAGGGAAGGGTCCCAGCCACCGGGAAAGAGTCCCAGCCACCGGGGAAGAGTCCCAGCCACCGGGAAAGAGTCCCAGCCACCGGGGAAGAGTCCCAGCCACCGGGAAAGAGTCCCAGCCACCGGGGAAGAGTCCCAGCCACCGGGAAAGAGTCCCAGCCACCGGGGAAGAGTCCCAGCCACCGGGGAAGAGTCCCAGCCACCGGGGAAGAGTCCCAGCCACCGGGGAAGAGTCCCAACCACCGGGGAAGAGTCCCAACCACCGGGGAAGGGCTGCCACTAACCCAGGACCACATGGTCGTCATGGTCCCCCAGCAAAACCATTAAGATGCTCCGCCCAGTGAACATAACTTGAGGGAACACCTGGCTATATACCCCTCCTCAGGTGTGTGTGTGTACTGCCTCAGATGATTACCTGCGGAGACAGTGGGGGCCCTAGTACACTCCTTGATACCCTGGTGGGCCCCCACCACGACACCCAGGTGGGCCCCCACCACGACACCCTGGTGGGCCCCCACCACGACACCCTGGTGGGCCCCCACCACGACACCCTGGTGGGCCACCACCACGACACCCTGGTGGGCCCCCACCACGACACCCTGGTGGGCCACCACCACGACACCCTGGTGGGCCCCCACCACGACACCCTGGTGGGCCCCCACCACGACACCCTGGTGGGCCACCACCACGACACCCTGGTGGGCCCCCACCACGACACCCTGGTGGGGCCCCACCACGACACCCTGGTGGGCCCCCACCACGACACCCTGGTGGGCCCCCACCACGACACCCTGGTGGGCCCCCACCACGACACCCTGGTGGGCCACCACCACGACCCCCTGGAGGGCCCCCACCACGACACCCTGGTGGGCCCCCACCACGACACCCTGGTGGGCCACCACCACGACACCCTGGTGGGCCACCACCACGACACCCTGGTGGGCCCCCACCACGACACCCTGGTGGGGCCCCACCACGACACCCTGGTGGGCCCCCACCACGACACCCTGGTGGGCCCCCACCACGACACCCTGGTGGGCCCCCACCACGACACCCTGGTGGGCCCCCACCACGACACCCTGGTGGGCCCCCACCACGACACCCTGGTGGGCCACCACCACGACACCCTGGAGGGCCCCCACCACGACACCCTGGTGGGCCCCCACCACGACACCCTGGTGGGCCACCACCACGACACCCTGGTGGGCCCCCACCACGACACCCTGGTGGGCCCCCACCACGACACCCTGGTGGGCCACCACCACGA